TATTATTATTATTATTATTAAACATAAATTTTATTATATTAAAACAAATTAGAAGATTACTTATATTAAATATATTTGTTACCTGTATTATAAGTAGTACCACAAGACCAAAAGATAAAGATGACATGTGATGCACTGCTGGTGGATTATCAACTTCCGGAACACATCCCATACAACCCAAAAACATTAAGGTGCCAGTTGCGATTAGTTCTGACATAAACATGGTAAAATATTTCGGTCCATTTCTGTGTCTTTTTCCTAAAATAGTAATTATTATACACTACACTATTCATTTATTGCAAAGTGTTACGGGGCCGAACAAATTTTTTTTAGTTATTAATGAAAAAATCAACCCTTAATCTGATTTATATTACTCGAAAATATTTATTTCATAAGTTGTCCAAATAATCCGAACTTTCTTATACAAACGTTATGTGCGCATGTAAAACAATTTTTTTGAATTTTCAGTTCAATAGCTACATACTTCATTATATATTATATTATATTTAAAAATTAAATAAGTACAAATTTAGGTAAAAGGAACATATGCAAATGTTTATTAAACTCCTGCTTTCTAGGTCTATCTACTAACCTTTACTCAAACAGTTGGTTAATGTTATTTTCGGCATGTCTGAATAAATCTGTTTAATATACTAAATTATTTTACTGTTTTGCAGCATAGAAAATTCCTGGATAACTTATCGCTTCTGGTGTCAATTTATATCAAGTTTGGTGAAGTTATATGAATAACACAACACATGAGTTGATAGTTTGTCTTATCATGTAAATAATTTAATTTTGATAAGTAATAATTATATTAAGTAATTAATATGATCCTTTTAAAAAGTTAATTTTTTAATTTAAAAAATTGACAATTCTTATTTAATAACTATTAGATAAATTAGTTACAAAATAATTAATATAGCAGCAAATAATGGAGTACGCACTAATGAATTGTAACGATAAATGATGACATAAAACAATTACAAAATATTTTAATTTATTGTTGATTTTTCAAGAAAGTTATTCTTGTTAAAAAGTGTTGCTTATCTTGGGAAGTCATGGGCAGTAATCAAGTAATCAAATATGTAATAAAACATACAGGGCGTCCAAAAAATTTCAAAATGTGATATATTCCCCAAGCAGTGCCTTTAATTTTTGTTTTCGTTGAAAACTGTATTTAACAAAGTTGTTCGAGAACTCAAAAAATGCTTAAATACGGTGTTTAGTCAAAAAAGAAGAATAATCACATTTTGCAAATAAGAAGAGGCCATTTTTATCTATCTTACTTAAAGTATAAAGAAATTGTAAAAAACAACAAATTTAATATAAAAATAGCCTGGTAGAACAGTTTCCGGGTTGGTTGCCACGTCGTCGGTTTAGGTTTCTTGACGTTTCGAGCGACATATCACTGTCTTTCTCAGAAGTATATCTGCCACGGTAGCCTGCAAACCAAATAAAAGTAGCTTTTCTAATTAAAATATAGAAATAACAAATTAGAACTGGAATTAACAACAACGAAACAAGTCCTATTCAACTTGTAAACCTCCAAGTAATAAACATTTTTCTAAATTCCTTGTACACAGACGAAATCATTTCTTCGTTTATGGTAAATTTATATTAATTATAATTATACTACCTGAATTTTTTTCTTAAGTAAACAATGTTATCGTCAAAATCGTTTGAATACACTTTTTGTTTTAGGTATCCCCATAAAAAATAATCTAATTGGGACAAGTAGCAGGCCAAGGTATTGGTCCATAGCGTCCGATCCACTTGTTCGGGAAGTGAATTTCAAGCCAGTTTCTCACTAGAAGTGTGGAATGTGCAGGGATCCGTTTTGTTGAAATATTAGTTTATTTTCTTCTGAACTCTAAATTTTCGCTATCTAATTCTGCCAAAACAAAATTATTGAGAATTTGCAAATACGAATTTTGATTAAGATTTTCTTCCAAAAATTGAGGACCAATTATTTTGTGATACATTATGCACACTAGACAACTTTTTTAAATTTTTGACTACCAGTTATCAATAAAAATATTGGATTATCTTTAGGCCAGTATTTACAGTTTTGAGAGGAAATCACGCCATTAGTTGTGGGTGTGAATTCGTCAGTAAATAGAATATTGTGATGAAAGAATCTAATTTCAATCAGTTTTTCGCTCATTGTTAAACAAAAGCTCAAACGACGACCATCATCTCCATCAAGCAATTTATGATTAAACACTGGTTCGAATGGATAGATTTTGTTGTATACTAAAATTCGTTGACTATGAAATCTGCTAATATCTATGTTTTCTGGCCTTTTTCCGAGTGACATCTTTGGATTAACTACAACCGTACCAGCATCGTTATCATTGTATTATCTTGTATTTTATCTTTTTAATATTCTTTACATCACAAGTGGTATCGAATTTTATAATTAACTTGCGAGCTGCTCCACGAGTTACAGTTACATTTGGATACTTTTCATTAAAAATTTGTATTGCATATCGATTTGAAACATTACCGATTCCATAACAATACACAAGATAAATTCGTTGCTTCAGGGTTAGCATTATTAAAAATTATTCGGTGGGCAGTTAATAAAAATAAATATGTAGATAAGGAAATATCCATGGTATGGTATGTAAGATAGTTAAAAATTGCGACGCCTTTTAGTCTTTTCTGACTAAACCCCGTATTTAAGCATTTCTTGAGTTCTCGAACAACTTTCTCAGATACATTTTTCAACGAAAACAAAAATTAGGCACTCTTTAGGGATAATTTCACATTTTGAAATGTTTTGGATGCCCTGTATGTTTTATTACATATTTGATTACTACCCATGACTTCCCAAGATAAGCAAAACTCTTTATCAATAATAACTTTTTCACGAAAAATCACCAATAAAAAAGTGCGATACCCCATCCGGGGACACGCTGTATATTTAATGTGTGTCCCTGTAGTTACGTGCAACATTTTCTTCTCACTATAGAAAAAATTAATTTATTTTTATACGTTCCGATTTTTTTATATAAGAAAAACAAATTAATAATTTAAATTTGTATATTAAAAATTAATAATCATATAATGTATGTATATCTGTCTACGCGTGGATTAAAAGAAAATTGCGTGGAAGCAATCGATACGTTCAAATTATATGGAAATCGGGTAACGGCATTTTTCCAGCATGTGTACAAATTTGAGCTAAGTACAAATTTAACGCCCAAATTGATCAGTTGAATAATGACCACTTTATAAACTCAAAAAAATCGAGATAATCGAATTTGTGTATGTAAATATTTTCCTGAGCGTTTAATGACTGAAAGAAACTACTAAAATAAAAAATCTGTGTATTAATGTTCAAGTTCAAGTATTTAATTCTTTTAAGGTATGTATTAGAATTTCAATCTAGTCTTAAAAAACTCCATGAACCCATTCAAAATGGGTACCAGCAAGTCCCACTCGCAACCTCCGAAGTCTAATGGGCCGGCCACACATACAGGCTTTACCGCGCGCTTGCCTGCACAAACCAGTTTGTATCGGGAAGCCCGTACGTGTGGCCGGCAAAACATTTTCTCGCACAAACTGAAAAGCGCGGCTTGCGTAAACTTCGGCATGCTGAAGATTTTGTTTGTGCAAATTCGGTTTGCACGGTAAAATTTGAGCGTGTGGACGGCGCACGGTGTTCAGTTAAGAGAAATTGCGGCAGAAAACCTTAAATCTTTCTATGATCTCCCTGTAGCCAAATATCTGAGAGTACCAACTCAATCTTTCAGGAGGAGATATATATGTACATAGTGTCACACTCCGTACGTCCCTTGTGAGGAAAAAATTAAATAAAATTCAGGGACTATTGAAGTAGATCTATTTAGTTCTAACCCACACCAAAATAGTCTATAGTAAGCAAACTTTTAATTGGCGAAAAGGTCCAAATTGTAGCGTTACACTTACAGGGTACACTTCTAACGGTCGCGTATCCGCGGAAGACACTCTTGTCTTGCGTGTTTCAACGAGTTGCGACGGATGATCACTGTGGAACTCTCGTATCAACGAAGCTAAAACAATTTGACATTATTTTTTTAGAAAATCCCTTTTTTGAAGTTTTTTTCTGTCACTCCTCGATCATCAAAAGCCTTCTTGAAAAATCCGACGAAAAGTTTTTGGAAATAGATTAATATGCAAAGAAACTTATAACTACTACTAAACGATATAGTGGGATAGATGTAGATGTCTCAGAAAATCGTGTTTTCTGACAATAGATTCGCGCACTACAGTATTTTGTCGTTTTATGAAGGGAGTCACCAATCCTAGTAATTCAGTATACGACGTTTCATCCATTCTCATATAATTACGCCAATCGTTGGGATCTTCTCTCAAATCCTTCATTAAATTTATATGTGAATGTATATTTCTGTTCAGAAGCCATTTTTTAACCATTTTGAACGATGACTTCTATTTCTTTTTTTTTACTAATGTAAAATAGAAAGAGGCTAATACTAAAAATTCTTCGCTTGGATTATTCCTGAGAAACATACTGATTGCTGCCTGCAGTGCCTGCAGTGCCTGCAGTCTGCACGGTCTTACCTGCATCGTGTGGCCACAACACAGCGTTCCGTGTTTATTGCGCAAACCATACCGTGCAGACAAGTCGCTGACGTGTAGCCGCTGCATAACACAGTTCGAGAGATTTGCTGTCTCCTGTGTTCGATTGATCAATTCTGGCATCAAATTTGTATTCACCTCTTTAAAAAACGTAAAACATAATTAGGAAATCGCTAGGGGAAGGTTGGAATTCTAACGTATATGTTGAGAGTTCGAAAAGATTAACCTGATGGCGCAATTCTAATGTATGTATTCAAATTCGTATATTTAGAGGCTCAAAATACATACAGGTTGTGAGGTGTAGTTTTTCGAACATGAAACTTTTTTTTATTAAAACAACGTAAGGGGAAGTCCGTTCTTCTAAGTATATGAGATAATGTGCGTAAATGTCACCTCTCATATTCCAAGAATAGATAGAGAAAATATATAAAAGCTTGTAGGAATCGGTTTTTTTTATCATCTGAACTGAACTGATTACATGTATTCAAAGACTTAAAAAGTATTCTACCACTTTTGTCCTTACTTGTAGGTACTACTACCTTTCTTTATCTTAAAATTTTCCGACTTTAAAAACTTAACAGAGAAAGTGAAGGATGGTATAATGGTAAACCACCCTGGAACTCTGTAACAAGAGGTACGGGAAGTAGAGAAGAATGAAGTAGCTGTTTAAC